CCTGCGCGGCTACCTGGGGTTTCGCCCAGGCGTTTACGACGGGTACGGGCGCGGGAATGAATTTAACGGGCGCGGGTTTGGGCAACGTCGATTTCGCGGGAGATTTCCTCGCGGGAGTTTTCGGGGCCTTAGCGCAGCCTCTGTAGCTAGCCGGATGACCGGTAGTGTGGCAATTTTACGCAGTCCGGTGGATCTGCGCAATCTTTCGCCCTCGTGCACTCGGTTGTGCCGTGGTCACCGGTGCATTTGACGCACCTTGGGTGAGCGAAGCAGTTATTGGCCGTGTGGCCAAAATGTTGGCAGTTGTGGCACTGTGCCACAACACCCGATTTACGTGGGGGCTCGATGACTAAGTCACTGAGCCCACAGACCCTCTTGAGGTTGAAAATGGCCTTACCTTCCGGGGTAGGGTCAAGTTCCACCATGACCATGTCCATAGGGACACGGGTGCGAGGGTGCCTGAGACGGCGCACGGCGTGGACAGGGTATCCCTGAGTGCGGATGTCGACCTTAGCCATATCGACATCCGACTCTTTTGGGACGCCCTTTATTACGACCCGAAGTTTGCGCTCTTCGGGTAGAGAGTAGGTGTGGAAACCTACCTTAGCTTCGCGCAAGTATTTAGTTGCGCGACGGAAGTCGTCCGAAGAATTGAGGTATACGCGGATACCCATATGCGTATTGTTGGACCGGGGGTCTCGGATGTTGTGGCGTTCAAACCACGAACAAACCTGGTGCCACTTTGCCTTATCTTGAATTATTATAGGCGGCGGTGGCTTCATTTTTCGCTCAGAGGCGAAAGTCGGTTCCGACTGGGCAGACGCGGCTGCCTTTTTGGCGGGCGTCGCGGTGGGACGGTTTGACGGGGCGGCCTCGCTTTCGGGGTCGCTGTCGGTGGCGGGGCGTTTCTTGCCCTTTTTCCGCGATTTGACGACGGTGAAGCCGTCGGCGTTCGCGTTATTAGCGGGGGTCGTTTCGACCTCCATGTCTGAGCCGCCGTCCGATTGTGAGTCGGGAACGACAGCGCAGAAGTGGGCCGAATTGGATTGCGCGGAAGGCGCGTTGAGATCGATCGCGGCGGCGGAGGTCGACGCGACGGGCGTATTAATTGTCGCAGAGGGCGACACAATAACTGGCGCGGAGGGCACCGGAGATGGCGGCGAGACGGCAGCCGGTGAAGCCGGACTGTCGCTAGCAAATTCGACGGCTAGGCGCCGTTCCCTCGCGAAATTGAGGAATTTTGCCCATATTTCGGGGCATTCCTCCCGCAGGAACTCCTCTAAGAGGGAACCCATTGCGACGCTTGTGCCTTTGGGGCTTGCGCCCCGCCGGCGTGTGTTTTTCTAAATAGGCCTCCCCACCTTGCGGCAGGGAGGTGTGTGCCTAAAAAATAACCTTTAATCGCCTGCGCTTTAGGTGCGCTAGGGTGAGTACCTAGCTGTCGCCTAATGCAACAAGCACACAGATAAAAATTACAATGCCGCCTCTGAGACGAGAAATGTGTGTAGAATTCTACTTACGGACAGGAACCTGCCTACGAGCACAACACTACACTAACACTATCCGCTCGGAAGTCGGGCAAAGTTTCTTCTTTCTTCTGTAACGTTTCTTCTATCTTCTATAATGTTTCTTCTCTCTTCTTGCTTCAGACTTCCCTAACCGTAGACCGCGAAACACGACAACGATGAGGCAAGCAGTGCACACCGAGATATAAAAGAAATAATATATGTAGCAACAACGGTTGCAAAATGGCTTCCGGGTCGGTTGGCATGGGCCCTCCGGCTCAGATTAACGTCCGTTCCGTGTGGAAGCACGAAGCGAATGAAAAGAATCTAAAAAAGTCCTTATGTTTGATTAATTTTTAAACGAAGTTTGTTTCGAATATGACTGAATGTATTTTGACTAACACTGTTGTGCGGTATTAAACCGAGATGTAAACGATTTTGGTCACAAGTATTGCATTGAAATATATTAAAATGTTAATAATTAGTGTCCAAGTATTAACCCAAGCGGTCGGTGAAAGTGATGTGTGGACGCGAGCGTTAAGGAGATTAGTCCTTGCTATCGCCGCCAGGAACTGGTAGCATATGTGAACCCTTTTTTATGTATGGGGGGCTTCGAAAGACCTCTTTGTCCACTACGTTTGGAGGGACTCCGGAATCGTCCGAGATGTGTTGTAGCATCCTAATGACGGGGAGAAAAACTATTCACAAAGACATTGATCTATGTATTGTAATAAACGTCATGCCCTGATCCAACCTATGTGTGGTCCTACCTGACGTCAAGCCGTCTTGGGAATCAAACATCCAGATCCGGAACAGTTATATTTAGGTCACACAAATACTTGTCCCGTGTGGCAATCGAACCCACGATCAAACGCCGAAGCCAATAGCTTAGCAATGGCGCCACCAAGTATGTAAAAGTAATAATTTTAAAAGCCCTTTAAAATTGGCGGTACCCAGGTGAACAATGGCATTCAGACGTCAAACTCCGCAATGCGTGTCGCGACTTTGAATGATGTAAAGCATTCCAACCGTCGGGTCGGGAATGTTGAAACTAAACGCGATAAATTTGTAAAAGTTGTTTCATTTAGTAATGTGCGATATTTGCTTAAATATGTTAAATTACTATGTATCACTTGCATATATAATATCAATCAAAATCAAATCAAAAATATATTTATTCAAGTAGACGCTTGCGCGCTCTTATGAATCGTCAAATTTTACATCAAAGATTATGTATATAGGTTCGTAAGGTACCACCGGTTCGGAAAGCGGCTTCTGTTGAGAAGAGACCGGCAAGAAACTCAACAGTTGCTCTTTTTCAAAAATATCAGGGTACAATATAATATACAGGTATAATAGTCTTATTCTAGCCTACGTGAGTATCAACAGTATTAACTCCACACATTGGCGTCGTCGAGATATTCCGAAATGGTATAATATGCTTTAATCATCAGTTGATTTTTAATTTTACATTTAAATTGGTCAAGCGGCAGACTTAATATCGACTGTGGGATTTTATTATACATGCGCACACTTTGCCCCATGAACGACTTACTTACTTTTTGTAGACGAAACAATGGCGTAGTAAGTTTGTCCTTATTTCTAGTGTTTATTTTATGTCTGTCACTATTCTTTAGGTAATAATTAAGGTTATGACGTATATACAAAACATTACAATAAATGTATTGACAAGCAACAGTGAGTATATTAACCTCTTTGAAAAGATCTCTGAGTGAATTCCGGGCTCCGATATTGTAGATTGCTCGGACAGCTCTTTTTTGAAGAATAAATATAGAATTTATATCTGATGCACTACCCCACAACAAAATGCCGTAAGACAAGATGCTGTGAAAATAACTAAAGTAAACAAGTCTGGCAGTGTCGATGTCTGTTAGCTGCCTAACCCTTCTAATCGCAAAAACCGCGGAACTCAGCCTATTCGCAAGAGATGATATATGGGGACTCCACTGGAGCTTTGAATCTACTGTAATTTCCAGAAATATAGCAGACTCAACTGGATTAATGGGTACGTTATTTAATATTAAACTAAAACTTTTCCTTCTTATACTGGGAAGGGTAAAAAGAATACATCTGGTTTTTTAATACCATATTATTAATATTAAACCAGTGGAGGATATGTGAAAGTGCACTATTCACGTCGTCATAATTTAATACGTTTCGGTCAACTTTAAAAATAAGCGATGTATCGTCAGCAAACAGTACAACATCACACAACCCATTGGCATAAAAGGGGAGATCATTAATATATACTAAAAATAATAATGTGCCCAAGATTGATCCTTGTGGGACTCCCATTTTCATATGGGACCCAGCGGAATTAACATCATTCATAGATACTTTTTGAATTCTATTACTAAGGTAAGAGGCAATGAGATTGAGGGCGATGCCACGAATGCCATAATATTCTAGCTTTTGAAGGAGAGTTTTATGGTCTACGCAGTCGAAGGCTTTTGAAAGGTCACAAAAGACACCTATTGCATCTTGTGACCTTTCCCAGGCGTTATAAATATGTTTGACAAGTGCGACGCCCGCATCAATATATAATATATACTTGTATATATAATATATACAGACCGGGAATTCACCCTAATCCGTATTGATCGTATCAAATGTTATATGTATATTAATGTCTTTTTATCTTGCGATTTAAATGTCAAAATCCAGAATACCGTCTCCAAAGATTTTTTAATGAATTTAATAAAACGAAAAATAAAATAAGTCTAAAAGTTGCAACACAATTTAAAAAAAAAACCTGTTGAAATTATAAAATGGTGATAAACTTACGTTTTGAAACGAAAACCGAGCATTATAATTCGTTATTCGAGATGAATTTTAGTGTAAAGAGTTAAATTTCGATACTACAATGCTGTCTTCGCTGCTTATTGCGTTTGAGTATATAGTGGCAAAATTAAAAAATAATAGAAAGCGATAAAATAGGCGAAAGGATTCATTCTTGTCATGTCAATAACTAGGGCGTAAAACACACATTCAAGTTCCCACATAAAAATGAAAAAAAAAACATTTAAATGTATCGTTCTATTGTAATTGGTGTGTCCCTATAAAAGCATAAATTATTTTAGTAGTAATCAAACAGTGGTCGACTTATAATGAATCGTGTACGATTGAACTTAATGAATAAATTAGGTAATAATACCTTATAAAACTTTCCAAACGGATTCAGTTCCTTCTAATGTTTACTTGCTCGAAGGATATAAGATCCTGTTGCTCATAATGACGGAAATCGATTTTGAAACTAATCTAAATAAAACGGCCATTATGAAAGTAAATGCAATGCTCAAAATCGTAGGGCTCTCTTTAAATATAGACGACACAGATTCGAATGTAAAAAAAATGTTTAGACGGTGTTTCTTTTGCCTGAACTTTCTGTGTCTTTCCGTGAACACGCTTGGTCAAATTACGTGGATTGTTCTGGAATCACTTAACGGAACGTTATTACTAATCGAGCTCACATACATGGGCCCCTGCCTGGCTCTTTGCGTGTTGGGATGCGCCAAGTCGTTCTTTTTCGTCAAAAATACTGACAAGATCGTGAAACTGGTTAGAATGCTTGATAATTTGTATTCTGCCTCACCATACCTTCGGCCGGACGATAAAAAGGAAACGGAAATTTACATGCAGTCCCATGTTAACTTTCTCAAAAGAGCCATCAATACACTAACATTATTGGATGGTCTGGGTGCAGTTTTGTTCTGTTTCAGACCAGTCATAATATCGATTTCTCACTATCATCGAACCGGTGAACTGCGTTTCCTTCTGCCATTTCGAATGGTGTACCCATTCGACTAAAATAATTTACACGTGTGGCCATTTTTGTACCTTCATCAGATATGGTCAGGTAAACTGTAAATTACATGTACAATCAATGTATGCACATGTGTCTGTCTATGTAATGTTAATTGTAAGATTCGATTGTCGTTCAGTCAGAATTGACAATCTCGTGTCGTAAATTCATCTTATAATTCCATTTTCTCCATTAAATTCCATATGCATACATATGTTTCCCAATATACTATAAAATTGTTAATTTTAAGTGCTGACCTAACACGTGCTCAGCTGTGAAGAAAAATATCGTGAGGAAACCTACATATTTTCGAAATAATGACAATTTTTTTTTCGAACATCTGTGAAGTCAACCGACACGCAGCGAGGCCGCGTGGTGGACTATGCCCTGATACCCTCTGTACGAAGGAGGCCTTTGCTCAGCCATGGTCCTGTCACACTGACATGTATAGGCTGATACTTAATTTTTTTGGTCCAGCAATAGATTACGTATAGAGGCTGTCAGTCAATGGGTTTTTTTGTACAAATCATGGTAATATTTCAGCAATATTGGCGGAGTTCACTGTTCTGGGACCGGACAGCATGTTCTATACGTCGTGTATGCTGTTAAATTTAAAATTCTTTCAACTGAAACAAGAAATTGAGGTGATTTTTGACGATGAAAATGATGGTACAATTTCGTATGGCGATATTAGATCGGAACTTGCGCTGGTAGTTGATCGTCATATACATTTGCTACGGTGAGGTTCTATGTAACTGTAGGAATAAGAGACATGATAATATCACAAGTGATAAAAAAAATATTTCTTTCATAAAATCATATTGAATGTAATTAACACTCAATATGACTTTATGAATCGACGATCATATAATGACTAATTATCGTTAAAATCTGTATTTTCTTAATTCTACGCAAGCAAAGTAAATTTAAAAAGCTAATTTCCCTCAAGCTGAAAATTAAATGTGTGACATGAGATAAATGTGCTAGATGACTCCGTGGCGCAGTTGCCGAGGTAGTGGCTTCGGCGTCGGAGGTCGTGGGTTCGATTACCACACGGAACAACTTGGTATTTGTGTGACCCACAGATAGTTCTTTCGCATCTGGGTGTTTGTCCACGTGAAATTTATGTTTGTAAAACGTCCTTACAACACAGGGTAATGTTATCCTAAAGTAAGGACAATGTTTTTTTTTTTTTTTTTAAAAAGAGTTAAATCCTTCAAAGTTTTCGGTGCCGCTAAGATTCGAACCTGCGCCTTGTGGGGAGATAAATTGTCAAAAATAATTTAGTTAAGTATTGACAAAGTATTTTACTAATCTTTCTAGAGCTTAGTAGTTATGTATTTTTATATCTACATAAAAGTTATAAGGATCACCGCTGTAGCTAAAACCATGTACATTATCTGTTGTTGAATTAAAAAAAAATCTGCATAAAAAAGGTCTGTAGTCACTTCCTGTTAGTAGTTAAAATGTTAAATATCGAATATTTTAGATGTCATATTAAATGCATATTGTGTCTTTTACACACAGCGGCGCGGAATTATTAAGAGTCCATTTATTCTGAGTCAACGCTTTGAAACATTTTGACGAGTTCATTATTGATTTGCTTGACCGGGTTTAACGTATTGGTACGTATAATATTTTATCTTATTTATTCTTAAATCTTTTATTAATAAATCTTATAAAAAACCGTATTCTAAAATGAGAAATTATTACAAATAAGTAGAAATCGCTTACGGTAGTTCCGTTTGTTTTAGGAATTTAGGCATATGACGATATACTGATAATAATACCGTTCATATCGTTTTTAACTATGGTAATTGGGCAAATATACTTTTTGTGTTATTGCGGTGACTTGATACAGAAATCGGTGAGTGTCTTCCAATATTTAAAAAATTAGAGAAAATTTAATTCTCTTGGTAGCGGTGATAACTAAAAGTAAAAGATGAAGGCCCAAGGATACTAAATATACTTTTATGGATATGATATATTTATCTGTCTGCTTGAGCTTTCGATCCAGATTCATTATTTTAAACGCCTTTTAAACCAAAAACACACTATAATATTACTTACAACATAATTTTTTAACAAAAACTGTTCATTCTTTATTCTTTTTCTTTGTTTAAAAACGTTGCCCTTACCTTAGGATAACATTATCCTGTGTTGTAAGGACGTTTCACGCGGACAAACACCCAGATGCGCAACAAGTATCTGCGGGTCGCACAAATAGTTGTCCCGTGTGGGAATCGAACCCACGACCCCCGACGTCGAAGCCAATACCTGGGCAACTGCGCCACGGACTCATCATTATGTTATCTTTGTCTAATTACAGAGCGGCAGGATAAGTGATGCTATTTATAATTGCGCTTGGTACGGAAAAAAAGCAAACGTTGTGAAAAATCTTATGATTATTTCTGCCAGGTGAATGATTTTGTATTTAATTTTATGAGTAATTTTTGGTAAGCGAGATGGTGGTTCACCTGAGGTTAAGTGATAACCGTATGTTGCAGATGCGTTGCCACCTTTTAATTAAGTGAGCCCCGTCTACCTTACCACAAAAAACACAGAAGTATAATGCTTCTACTTCAAATCGGTCTTTTGTTACGTCGTGGTTACCGACTGTTGTGCCCATACGTGCAACAGCGTGGACTGTTATGTGGTCCCATTTCAGTTAAAATTTTCACGATGGTAGGGCGACGCAGCAGCCTCGGCAGTTGCACGAATGGGCAGGCTCGTCCGGGTAAGAGCCACGACCTCACAGAAGACCGGCGTAAAGTGAAAGTATAATACATTCACGTTTCGTCTGGTGAGTGAGGTGGCCGGAGCCCAATTTTCGAAAGGTTGTCAACGCGTCTGGAACCCTCGGATGCAGCAATTTCAATGGGCGGCGGTATTCAATTAACACCAGGTGAACCCTCTGCAGGCTTGGCAACTCTTCGGATAAAAAAAAATTCATTGAAAATCACTGTTTTGTCACAGCCAAAGTCCGTGGTGGTGAATGTGGCTACAAAACGATTTGTAGCAGTGATTTCACGAACACACTGAGAGTGCACAATTATGAGAATGTTTATAATTCAAAACAAACTGTTTTTATTCTACATTCGTTTTTATTTGTCACTGATTAAACACTCAACATTGTTTCAGGGCTCAGAAGCCTTGCAAATTAACGGCCTTCGGCTTCGCTGTAATCAATATTGAAGCCTGTACAAAGGTATGTTTGTTTAAAGCATTTTTTTCATTGTTAACGGATATCATGGATATGTGTATTAATTGATTTCAGACAATGAGTACGGCCTGGTCTTATTTTGCCGTTCTGTTATCATTCTACATGAACAATTGACAACATGCAGTGAAATTATATGAAGAAAGATGTGTGTTTGATTGCTATATATGTATAAAGACGAGCTACAATAAACTAACTAATCTAATAATAACTGTTTCAACCCTCCTTTAAAAGTAGCACTTAAAATATTCTATCTTCTGCTGCACGCTCTAACACGGAAGAAAAAAATAATTTCATGTATTTATAATTACGAAATGCGGTCCGTAACTAAAAATCTATAACTATTCCCACGTACGATATATTCACTCCACTTCGTTCAAGTTATATCATCGGTTTAAAAAACAGACTCAAAAGAAAAAAAAATGAACGGGTAGGTCCGTCCGGGTTAGTTCCACGACATCACAGAATACCGGCGTGAAGTAGAAGTGTTACACTTCTGCGTTTCGTCTGTTGAGTGAGGTAACCGGGGCCCACTTTATTAAAAGGTTACAACGCATCTGCAACCCTACAGGTGTTGCAAATGTCCATGGGCGGCGGTTATCACTTAACATCGGATGAACCGCAAGCTTGTTTGCCACTTTGTCACATAAAAGAAAAAAAACCAACTCTTCCTCTATCGAATTTCGCGTATACCATATAGAATTAACATATTATATGTCTGTTCCATATTTTATATGAATCTAATGCAACCAAATACTTCTTACCAATGATGTTTAATAATATAGTTGACGCTTGTCCATACTCCGTGGCGTTTAAAAATTGATCCCCTACGTTATACGACATGTATAACTGAATGTGACAGATAATATAGATCGTATGATACGGAAAAGGATTGCAGTCTCTAGAATTACACCAATTGGTTTAATTTGAGCGCCTCAATTTCGGTGCGTTAGTGTCACACCTTTCTTGTATCTTGTATCTTGTATTAACTGATGTTTTTGATTTCAGTCCCGAGACTATTAAAGCATCATCGGACGCGGAACCGGTGGGCTAGCCAAAATCCACGGGTTTGGACCCTCCGCTATGGGTAGGGTCGCGCATGTGCTCATGCGTGCGTTTAATTATGGTGTGTCATCTAAGGGCCTCGGTCCGAACCGGCGACCTCGACGGCCGTCGACTGTGCATTTAGCTAATCGGTGGCTGGGAGCGGTGAGAACCGCCCCGGAACGCGGGTGTACCTTGTGTACGCGTTGTGTGGGTCTCGCCGTGCTCGGAGGCGAGGGCGAACTGGTGTGATTGTTGTTACACTAACTGTGGGTGTAGTGTTATCCGGCGGGACCCCCGGCGGTGGGTCCATCGTTTCTAAGTCCTCTTCGTCGACCGGGTCGATGAGGACGTTTCGTGGACGACGTTTATTGACGTTCGCGTTAGTGTCGGGTTGGTAATTTGCTGACATCTTTGCTTCTTACCTACTTACTTTTTTGCATAAAAAAGGTATTAGAACTTGTAGGTTTGTTCACGTTTTGTGTAGTATTCGCAGGGGCAAGGGATGGGCACAAGTTTGTGCATGGGGGTGTTTAATGAGCTGGAAGATGCTAGTTACTTTTAGCCAAAAAATTACCCAAAAAATTGAAAAGTTCATTTGTAAATAATAATAAAAAAATTAACGAATGAACTTTGTTTCCTCGATTTTATTTCCACTCGTATGTAATCATTTTCATCTGGGTTGAACTCAAAAACTCTATATTTAATCAATGGCACCTTTTTTAATGTTTATTATTGTCTACTACGCAATCGCAGATAAGCGTGACTATTATTTTTCTGAATAAAAAATACACAAATAAGTTGTAAGTAAAGAAAGTCTATAGATAGTAAAAAACATCACAAAATATATATGATAATAACATATCAAGTCACAAATAATGGACTTGATTTTACGAAATAATTTTTATAAACAATTAAATTATGAATGCTTCTAAGATTAATACAAGATTAAATTATAATCCATCAAACATTTAGAATATATTACAAAAGTTAAACTGCAATTGCAAATGTAAGAATGAAAAATCAATCCAAATCCAATTAAAGGCGTCGACACCACAGAAAATATTCTGGAAGTAATGTGTGGGCCCATGAAATGGGCGAAATGAATAAAACTGTAATAACCACTGCATAACGTTACTCGATGGGAATGGTCAAAGAGGTGCTAAGGGACTATTGTAATAATAAATTGGCTTCGAACCGTTTACTCAGCCTGCAGCGGAAAACCATTTAACAATGGACGTTTGGAGTGGACGGGCCTTAAGAGCCAATTTGCAATATTACCACAAATATAAATGCGAAACATCTATAGCTCAAAATATAAAACAACTACAGCTCAAAGATTTGACGCATGGTTAACTATAAGTATACCCGCTAATTCCAAAAGAAGCTATTGATATTAAATGAAACTAGTTTAGTACTTCTACTAGTCACTAGGTTACGGGACAGACAATGAACGCTGGAAACGGGTTCGAAACGTCGAGAATTTCAAAAACAAAATAAAAACGCGATAAAATCCGTAAACTAGTTTAATACTCGCGTAAAATCTAGAAGTCAAGAAGCTATTGAATTTATTTTTTGAAGTAAAATACTTCACTTAATGCACAATATTTCTAAAACAGGTTCAAACATTAGTAATATCAAATAACTGCAAACATCGTTAAAGCGGTATGTTTATAGCAATTAAAATATGTTTAAACAAAAGTTTAAGCAAAAAATATTTAAATTTGTTTCCTTAATTTTGTTTATAGTTAGCAGATTATCTATCTAATCTTATCCTTTAAACGAGCAATTCTTGTATATATATATATATATATATAATGAGAATCTCGGAATTGGCTCCAGCGATTTTCATGAAATTTAGTATGTGCGTAGATTCGGGGGCAAAAAATGGATCTAGCTAGGTTTAATTTTTAGAAAATGTCCGTTTATCCCTGTTTTCAGGGAATTAAAAATATCAATCGAATATGACAGTAAATTTCGCCGCAAAAAAAAATGTTATAATAGCTCGGTCGGTAATCGGGCGGCCCCAAAACAGACGGCCGCGGTTCGTATCACGATCATTTACACACTTCTTTTTTTTTACTCTTTTTTCTATACGAGATCATTTTTTTATTTTTATTTTTTTTTATTTCGAAAATACATGATTTACAAAAAAAAAAAAACGAGCAAATGTCGGTCCTCCAGGTACTAACACTAAACCGTTATCGTCGATAAATGATATTAGGATGCTAAAAGGCGTTAGATCCTAGTTAGCTTGGGATGGCAGTTATCTATAAATTTTCTTGTTTAATTCAATTCCGATATAATATTTACAAGATTATATCTATCTAAAATTACATATTATCTAATAAACCTAATCCACGCAGCATGGTGCCAAGAACGCTAGCTGCATTTCCTCACTGAAATGCTTAACCTTTGAGCGAGAAATGAACAAGCTCTCTTGTCACCAGCCGCGGCGTTAAGCCTTTAGGCAATTCAATTCCAGTACGTATATTTTGTATATCAGTGTACCCCATCTCTTTTATTTATGTTAGAAAATAAGAAAAGAAGCTTGTATCGAAACCCTAAGTCCAAATTTTTGAACAATTAAATATCTTAATCACATTTCACATGCATCCTGCTAAGCTTTTTACTAATAGAACTTTGGATACGTTCTACAAAAATATAATGTCACGAAAAGCGTAGCAAACATTTTCCGGGAAAATCTTGCTTAGATTAACTTGCCAGGTTTCCTTTGAAATTTACTTGCATGATTTATAGCTGGCTCAAGGAATTTTTGCAAATCTTATTGAGAATGGTAGGGATAAGAGCTTTCACGAATACATGAAGACATAAAAGCTCTCACTCGTACCGCTAAAATTCTGAATAAAATGCATGTGCCTGCAATATGAAACACTTAAAACATGTAAAACCACTTTTGCAGGTAAGTCCCGCATATTGCAGGTGATAAATAGAAAGATCTAAATACATGTATGTGGGAGTTATAGTGAATGCAGAGAAACGGAACGTTGAGTGAAAGAGTGAGAGGGATAGAGTGAGTAAGCGATAGTGAAGACGTATCGCGGGTGAGAGCTAAGTGTAAAGACGGAAACGTGTGTTGAGTTTTTTTCAAAGACGTATGTAGTAATTAAGAAGAAATTAAATAATTATTAAATTTGGAAATTAAGAACATGTCCGCAATTTCTAAAATATTTCCTCCGAATATAGTTAACTGTAGCCCAAAGACCCAAAATCCCAATGTAAATTCACTATCAAATAATGTAGATACTTGCATGTTATATACAGGATGAGTTGAGCATTCCATAATTCAAAAAAGTATTAATATTTTATTTTGACAAGAAATAAACAGAAAAATGTCAATTCAAACATTGTTCGTTTATCCCGTTAAGAGTGTGACTACTCTTAACGGGATAAACGAACAATTAATTGAACCTATTGATAAGCTGTTAAGTAATTATGCGTTCAGCGAAAAGTTTTAGTGCTCGTCAATAGGTTATTGTAGTGAATCGGTAAGACAGGAATTTCTTAAGGTGTCCATAATGCTAGAAAAAATAATGATCTTTAAAAAAATTAGGTCACAGGTACATACCTGATTCTGGTTTAGAATCAAATTCTGCATATGCTCTGTTAATATGTCGGTCGTCTATAAAGTCACCCTGTACGTTGTAATATAATGACTGTTATAACTGTTTTATTTATTAGGATAGCATCGGTTGTCGTCATAAGCTCCGTTTTCAGATGTCAGTTCGTTGAATTTCATATCAAGTCGCTACCTAGTGTTGGCTCTATTTATAATGTAGTTTCGTAGTCCACCTTAAAATATACAATAATTGTAATTAAATTTAATATTTTTCATTAGGTTACATGCCGTGATAGCTGTCCGGGCGTTCGCTTTTAATTCCATATACTCGAGCAACCTCAGTTCGATCCCCGGTGCCGGCACCAATGAAATTGATAATTTGAAGTGCTGAATTATCACGTGCTCAGCGGTGTAAGAAAACATCGTGAGGAAACCTGCATGACTTTCAATAAGAAATAAATATTTCGAATATATGTGAAGTCCCCCAATC